GGCTTCCGGTTGGAGAAAAACTTGAAAATTCTGTCAAATACCCCTCAATATGGGTATTTTTAGAATTGGGGTGACGTATAGGGTCCGGAAATAGATGTCTGACGCCATTTTGAATTCAATATGGCAGCCTTTGGTTAGAAAAAAAATTGGAAATTCTGCCAAAAAGCCCTCAATATGGGTATTTTTAAAATCTGGGTGACATGTAGGACCCTGAAACCCATGTATGACACGATTTTGAATTCAATATGGCGGCTTCCGGCTAGAGAAAAACTGCCAAATTACCCACAATATTAGTATTTTTGGAGTCAGGGTGACGTGTGGGGACCGAAAAACCGTGTCTGACGTCTCTCTGAAATTCAATATGGCGGCTTCCGGTAAAAGAAAAACTGAGAAATACTGTAAAATTACCCACAATATTAGTATTTTTGGAATTTTGATGACGTGTTGTACCGGAAATAGATGTCTGACGCCTATTTGAAATTCAATATGGTGGCTTCCGATTGGATAAAAACCTGTAAATTCTGTTAAATACCCCTCAATGTGGGTATTTTTGGAATCCGGGTGACGTGCAAGGACCGGAAAACTATGTATGATGTCTTTCTGACATCCAAAATGACGGCTTCCGGTTGGTGAACTCTACACGTTACCATGATTCCAAAAATACCCATATTGAGAGGAATATGACAGAATTTCCTAGTTTTTCTCTAACCGGAAGATGCCAGATTAAATTTTAAAATGTCCTCAGACATCCAGACATCGATGTCCGGTTCTTACACGTCACCCCGACTCTAAACATACCAATATTGTGAGGTATTTGATAGAATTTCCAAGTTTTTCTCTAGCTGGAAGCGGCCATCTTGAATTTCAAAACGGCTTCATACATCTATTACCGGTCCCTACACGTCATCAAGACTCCAAAAATACCCATATTGTGGGTAATTTGGCAGTACTTCCCAGCTTTTCTCTAACCGAAAGCTGGCATATTGAATTTAAAATGGTATCAGACATGGGTTTCCAGTCCTTACATTTCACCAAGATTTCGAAAATACCCATATTGAGAGGTATTCGACTTATTTTTTTAGTTTTTCTCCAACCGGAAGCCACCATCTTGAATTCAAAAATGGCTGCAGACATCGATTTCCGGCCCTTACACGTCACCCCGACTAAAAAGTACCAATATTGTGGGATATTTGACAGAATTTCCAAGTTTTTCTCTAACCGGAAGCCACCATATTGAATTTTAAAATGGCCTCAGACATCGATGTCCGGTCCTTACACGTCACCCCGACTCTAACCAATAATCTACCAATATTGTGAGGTATTTGACAAAATTTTCAAGTTTTTCTCTAGCCGGAAGCCGCCATCTTGAATTTCAAAACGGCCTCGTATATCGATTTCCGGTTCCTACACGTCATCAAGACTCCAAAAATACCCATATTATGGGTAATTTGGCAGTACTTCCCAGCTTTTATCCAACCGGAAGCTGGCATATTGAATTTAAAATTGTGTCAGACATCTATTTCCGGTCCCTACACGTCACCAAGATTCCAAAATACCCATATTGTGGGTAATTTGGCAATTTTTCCCTAACCGGAAGTCGCCATATTGAATTTGAAAAAGGCCTCAGACATCGATTTACGGTCCTTACACGTCACCCCGACTCCAAAAATACCAATATTGTGGGATATTTTACAAAAATTCCGAGTTTTTCTCCAACCGGAAGCCATATAGAATTTGAAAAAGGCGTCAGAGATAGGTTTCCGGTTCCTACACGTCATCAAGATTCCAAAAATACCCACATTGAGATGTTTTTCCCAGAATTCCCAAGGTTTTTCTCCACCCGGAAGCTTGAAAAAGGCGTCAGACATGGTTTTCCGGTCCCTACACGTCACCAAGATTTAAAAAAATACCCAATATTGTGAGTGATTTGGTAGTATTTCCCTTACCGGAAGCCGCCATCTTAAATTTCAAAACTGTCCCAGACATCGATGTCCGGTCCGTGCACGTCACTCCGATACCAAAAATACCCATATTGTGGAGTATTTGATAATATTTTCAAAAAACTTTTTAATGAAACATCTGGTTCGATTTACGAACCGCCGCGCCGGTTTGGTTCGTAAATGAAGGTTCCAGTGTATTAATAATTAAATAAAAAAACACGATCGGAAAAAAATCTTCGCTCGCAATCGAAAACAACAAACAGCAAAAACTGAAAGGGTCTACCACAGACCGAATATTTTCAATTAATTTTAATGATATTTTTATGCATGATTTCAACCATGTGAACGCGGATTATGTTTAAGAAATAATTAAAATATTTTAATCTACCTTGTTTGACATGGAATACGACTCGAAACGCATGTTTATGTAAAAAATAAAAACCTGCGATTAAACTGATAAATGAACCTACAAAAACTGTGTAGGCCCTTTTCGAAAAACAAAGCAAACTGACATTTCAGCGAATGAACACCGAGTCACTTTGCAACTCACCTAAGAATGAACCTCTCACCTCACCCGAGTCGACTGTCGGAATAGAGTGAGAAGAGTCATGTGACTGCGAGGTGACAATTGTCGTCTCACCTCATACGCCACGCAGAATAACCCTGTATGTCCATGCTCATTAACAGTGTGATCAGGTATTTTTAAGGTTCAGATTTTTGAAATTCTTTCAAAGTCACATAATTATAGAAAGGTTTGTATCTGCGAGCTGTTACTAAATCATCCTTGTCCATGAGTTCTTGGTAAACCAAATTCCCGAGAATTTTAGGAAAAAAATAATTCTTATAATTTTTCTAAACTTGTTCTTCAAATTTTTTCTAATGTTCCCATTTCTTTTTCAAGTTCAAGATTTGTTCAAGACCAATTTCTAATTTCAACCTTCACTCGGTAGCAGAAACGATATAGTGATGGCATATTTCCTGAATGCTCATGATTGTATGCAATTTAGAAAAAAATCACGGATCACTAGGTCTACTTTTAGGAATTGACCATTTTCCCGGAGATTCTGGATATTCAGAGGACCGTTTTCTGGCCACCCGGTACCAGAATCAATATATCAATGGCATATTTCCTGAATGCTTATGATGGTTTGTAATTTAGAAAAAAAAACGCGGATCTTCATGTCTACTTTTAAGAATTCACCATTCTCCCGGTGATTCCGGATATCCAGAGGACCGTTTTTCTGGCTTTTAAGTAGCAGAATCGATATAGTGAGCATATTTCTTGACTACTCATGATTGTATGCAATTTAGAAAAAAATTGCGGATTTCCAGGTCTGCTTTCAAGAATTGACCATTTTCCCGGTGATTCCGGATATTCAGAGGACCGTTTTTCGGCCACCCGGTAGCAGAATCGGTATGGTGATGGAATATTTCCTGATTGCTCATGATTGTATGCAATTGAGAAAAAAAATGCGGATCTCTATGTCTACTTTTAGGAATTGACCATTTTCCCGGTGATTCCGGATATTCAGAGGACCGTTTTTCGGCCACCCGGTAGCAGAATCGATATGGTGATGGAATATTTCCTGATTGCTCATGATTGTATGCAATTGAGAAAAAAAATGCGGATCTCTAGGTCTACTTTTAGGAATTGACCATTTTCCCGGTGATTCCGGATATTCAGAGGACCGTTTTTCGGCCACCTGGTAGCAGAATCGATATGGTGATGGAATATTTCCTGATTGCTCATGATTGTATGAAATTTAGTAAAAAACGCAGGTCTCCAGGTCTAATTTTAGGAATTGACCATTTTCCCGGTGATTCCGGATATTCATAGAACCGTTTTCTGGCCACTCGGTAGCAGAATTGATATGGTGATGGCATATGTCGTGAATGCTCTTGATTGTTAGCAATTTAGGGAAAAAATACGGATCCCTAGGTCTTCTTGCAGCAATTGACCATTTTCCCGGTGATTCCGGATACCCATAGGCACGTTATCTGACCACCTGGTAGCAGAATAGATAAAGTTATGGCATATTTCTTAAATACTCACGATTGTATGCAATTTAGAAAAAATCGCGGATCTCAAGGCCTACTTTTAGGAACTGACCATTTTACCGTTGAATCTGAATTTCCGCAGAGCCACCTCTCATGGGTTCTCCCGTTCCAACTGGTCAATCACAAGTTCAATCGGATCCCTGTCTGTTCCATCTGAAAGAAGGTAGTCAAACCTTTCAAATAGTAGCTCAATCTTTAAATTTGGTAACCAAATTGCCGAGAGCCAGTCATGTCAACATTAATCGACGAGCATTTTACTCGGGACTTTTCCGGGTTTTTCCGTTCCGACTGACCAACCACACGTCCAATCGGGCTTCTAACTGTTCCAAGTGGTAGTAGATAACCAACGATAACGATTGCTCATCGCATTGCCGAGAACCAGCCACATCAACATGCATGGACACTCTTTTTGCAGCCTCGGGGTTTTACCAGTTAATGAAGAATTTGCTGAAGCCGTTAAATCTATAGCAACGGAAATCAACAGTATGTTCAATTTTTCTATTGGACTGTCATAACAACTAAATAAACTGAAAATGAGGCTAAAAATTTGTGTATTTTCACGAAGTGTTTGCCATTCTTTTATTTTTTGAATGTCTTAAGTAGCTCATTTTAGAAGTTCATATGTACACTAGCACCACGTAGTGAGTAATTTTTCAACTGACCTGTTCACCATGTAGAAGGCCTTGGTTAGCTGAAAAACTATACGTCGAAAACAGCATTTTCCCAGATGGTAAAGATCTCGAGATATAGCGCATTTTGAAATTTCTTAGGCACACTAGAATTCTGAACTAATCTTCTCACAATTCGAAAGGTTTCAGCTACCTGAACAACTTTGACGAAGACAGCAATTTCCCATCTGTTCAGTAGTACCAGCGTTTGTGTTTAACTCCCAGCCAGCAATATGTTTTCTTTAGATACCCGAAGGGTAGTAAACACTTGTCACAGTTCACCAGCAAAAGATGAACCCCAAACACTCATCACAACCTTTCTCTCTTCCCGCAGATCCCGCGATCGCTTCCTCGAATCCAGCCAGCAGATCGAAGCCCTGGTGGAGCGCTTTGCCCGTGAATCACCGCTCCCGGAGGCACCGATCAACCCCATCGGCAGCGGCAAGATCCCGTTGGCCTACGGAAAGCCAGGTGAGCTGAAGGTATGGGGCATCCTCTACCTACGGCTGCTGGCGGCAACCTTCTCCTGCGGCACGGCCGGTATGAAGGCCATGTTTCTGCGACTGCTAGCCCTGCCGGCTGCGATGGGACTGATGTGGCTGTTCTACAACGAGACCGCGGACGATTCGCATGGTTTCTTCAGCAAGAGTGGGCTGATCTTGTCCGTGCTGGGGTTGAGCTATGGCGTCGGGATTTGGACCACGATTTCGTTGTGTAAGTTCCAACTCTAGTCAAGTATTTCAAATTTTGCTTAATCCAACTTTGTTCCACAGTCCCAGCATGGCGCAAGCGCTTCTGTCAGGAGTACTCGGAAGGAATGTACACCGGCGCAACGCTGCTGGTCGCATATAATGCAGTTTCGATGCCGTTCTCGTTCATCTCGTCTGCGGTCGGTGCATGCGTCCTCTACCCCCTGGTTCTGAATCCAGCCATCCCGGACGGCCTAATCTTCATGTACATCCTGATCGCCTTGTGGTCCAGCTTCATGCTTGCCGAACAGCTGAGTATCGCCTTCCTATTGGTCGTCAAATCCCAGATCAACGCTGCTATTGCCGTTTCGTACATTTTGATCATCTGCCTGACACTGGCCAGCGGCACTGTACGGTAAGTTGCGAAACGCGCCCGATTGGTAGGCAACCGGCGCGATCAAGCTTTTAATCGCATCGTTCCTTTTCCATCTTTTCAAAAGCTCGTACAAAGGCCTTTCGCCGTGGTTGCAAGAGAACGCCAAGGGGGTGCACACCAAGTATGCCAGCTCGTTGCTCCATTCGACGATCTTCCATGCACGACCGATGGAGTGCACGCCGGGCAGTGGGGTGGTTTGTCCGCTGCCGGCCGAGTACCTGCTGGAGCGGATCGGCAAAGCTCACCCACAGGAGATGACCGATATCGCTGCCTGTATCGCCTTTGCCCTGGGGCTGTGTGCGTTCAATATGTTTCTCTATCTGCTTCCGATGCCGCGGTGCGTCCGAAGGAAGTTTAGGGACTGAGAAGGTGGGCGACGAATGGAGATAAATTATTTACTAGGTTAACAGTAGGCTTTTTAAGAGAAATGATTAATATACTCTTTTTTAACATTAAGTGATGAAATGTTCCCACTTTTCTGAATCCGAAATTTTATAAACTTTTACGTAGCAAGGTATCACCATAGAGGTAGCTCTAAGACCAGAAGGTCCCGAAGAAACATACTCAACTTTTTGGCTCAGCTCTGGTACTATTTTCGGTCCCAAGCTAATCGATTCACCCCTCGAAACATAGTAAAATCCACGAACCCCTCATTTTATTTGTCAAACTTTCATAGCGAATCAAAACAAACATAGTGTAGTACTAGAATTTCGACTAGAATGGGTTACGCTTATAGATGTACTTGAGACCAAGAGGCTAGTCAAGTAGTGAGCCAATTTAAAATAGTTAGTTGGCAGCCGTTGGTATCACGGTGTTCAGTGTGTTTTTCATTGGTTCAGTTTCCAAGCTCCTTCACATTATAGAGTTATACTTTAAATATGCTTTCTTTCATAATATAACATAATGAAATTCGGAGGGAGGGACGGGTACGTTAAAGAAGTAATACTTGAGGTTTAGTGATAACGTGTTGATCGGAAATCCATATCAAATCCTTCTCAAGAGCAGTTGTTGTTGTCGTTACCCAAGCAACATTGCAAGTTTTATTGAGGTTTTATAGCATACTACAAGTCTAAATCATGGTCTACAGAACCCTCATAAAACCTAAATTGTTACTTGGGTAGTGAGGTCGCCACCGGGATCGACATCTAGTAACAACAAGTTGAACGGAAACTTGATAGTAATTGTTATGTGATAAAAAGAGCTCGGTGGCCTAGTGGCGACTGATTTTGCTTACTGGGCAGAAGACCAAGCTCCTCCGCGCTATTGCATCGTTAGCACATCAATTCAGCATATCCGTTTACCAAAACGAATCCTGCTGCAACCCTGTGGTCAAACATGCTCATGCTCATGGTGGAAGAGTGATAAAGTGTGTCGCAGTGTGTTTTTGGTGTGCTAAAGTAGGTGATAGCCCAATGTGACAGAGTGGCTAAGCCCCTGGCCATTTTGAATCTTTCAAAAAAAAAATCAAAATGGCTTATACGAGATTTTTTAACAAATCGTAACTTGAAAATGTCATTTCCATTCGAAATGACGTCTGAGACAAAGTTGTGAGAAGAAATGATTCCTTTCACGGAAAGCTACACACAGTAGAAACTTCATGAAAAATTGGTTAAAAAATCGAAATAATTTTTTGAAACTTAAATAACATAAAACCGCCCTCTTCATGATTATTTCAATACTTATCATTAAAACGCTTATAAAAAATGCTATCTTCTGTGAAAATTTCGAGTTGGACACCTTAAAATTAACATAAATTCTAAAACAACAACTTTTGGACCAATTTGGTTAAACATTTTTAGGTCAGAGGAGCGGAGCGACGGGCATACGTGTAGACTGAGCTTTCAAATGAAGCTTCTATAAGATTCTTCTTAATAAGCTTCCACACACTAAGATTTTTTTTTTGCCGAGATGGGCACCACCGAGCAGCTTGGCATTTGATTTTGCTGGATCTCATTGAAAAGCTTCTCTGAAAATACCTGAGCTTCACTGAAATTTTGTTAACGTATCTGAAGAAACGTGAGCTTCTTTGAAGCTCCGTGAGCGTATTTAAAGTTTCTTGAACATCCCTGCAATTCCATAAACTGCTCTGAATTTTTGCAAACTTATTATCAGTTTCGTTTGCTTGTCGGAAGTTCAGGAAGAAATTCAGACAAGATCGATGAAAAGTGATATGACAAAAAATGAAATTTATACATTTTGTATTTAAAAAAAATATATTACATTCGGCAGGTATGAAAGAATGAAAAACTTACTATTTACTTCACAGATGGATTCTGAAAAGCGCTTTCACGTGGACTGCTTCAATGATTCGGTGGATGCTTCCAATTTGCGACAGGAGTGGGAAGAATGGCACAGAGCGTGTGAGCTCATTCTGGAACTGAAGAATGTCAAATCGCAGCATGAGAAACTTCTCTTTATGCTGGCTCGAGGTGGAAGAGGTCTACAGCGAATATTTTATAATCTGGCGCCGGTGGTTGGGGAAATTCATCCAGGTCCGGTGAAAGTACCGCTCGCTCCGCAGGAAAATCCGGAATACGACAACGCCATGAAGCGTTTGAATGCATTTTTTGTAGGAAAACGAAATGAGAGGGTCGAACTGGAAGTATTCAGATCGCTCAAACAGAAAGCCGGAGAATCATTCAACTGTTACATTCTGAGATTACGTACACAAGCAGCGCGTTGTGACTTCCGGGATCGCGAGGAGAAAGAGCTGTTGCAGCAAATAACAGTAGGAGCTTTTGATGAAAGAATCCGAGATAAGGGTCTTAAGACTGTTATGAACCTGGATGAGCTGATCAATTACGCTATGAATCGAGAAATATTGATAAAACAGAAGGAGAGATCTCAACCGTTTCGTTCTGAAGCTAGCGCAGTTGCATCGGTACATACTTATCCAGTCAGTAATTTTTACCGAGTTTTTGAATTGCGGAACTGTTCGGTATAATTTAAAAAATCTGTGAAAAATTCAAAGTTGAGAAAATGTGTTACGAAAATTTACAGACTTACTACTGTTATCTTACTTACTTACTTAAGGGTCCTGTGCACCACCAGCGGTACAAAGGGCCAACGTGAAAGACTTCCATCCTGGGCGGCTGCTCGCTTTTGCCTTGACCTGGGCCCAGCTCAGATTCCTATCGACTTGCTTAATGTCCTTATTGAGGCTCCACCGCCATGAGCCCCTGGGTCTGCCTCTGCTGCGATGTCCTGCCGGATTCCAATCCAGCGCTTGCTTGCAGATTTCGTTTCCGCCCCGTCGAAGTGTGTGGCCGACCAACCTCCACTTTCGCTCTCGAATTTCTGTTACTATCGGCTTCTGATGACATCGACGATGGAGCTCGGCATTCGAGATCCAGTTGTGAGGCCACCAGGCACGAATTATATACCGCAGGCATCGGTTGATGAAGACCTGCAGCTTTTGAGTGTTCTCCGCTGATACACACCACGTCTCGCTGGCGTATAACAAAACAGATTTCACGTTCGAGTTGAAAATTCGGATTTTGGTGCGTTTACTTATCTGGTTGGATCTCCATACGTTTCGTAAACTCGCAAAGGCAGCCCTAGCCTTCTTGATTCGTGCACCTATGTCGCTCTTGGTCCCGCGGTCCGACGCTATTTGGCTGCCAAGATATTGGAAACTTTCGACCTTCTCCACTGCTTGACCCGCTACCGTAAGGTTGGAAGGGTTGGCCGTGTTGATATCCAACGATTTGGTCTTGTTGACGTTGATGGTGAGACCCGCCGCAGAGGAGCGTTCGGCTAGGTCATTGAGCTTACTCTGCATATCAGAGCGCCGTTGTGCTAGTAGAGCAACATCATCAGCCAGATCGAAGTCGTTGAGATGCTCCATGGTGATAGGCTGCCAAAGCAGCCCACGGTTCGGTACACGGTCAATTGCACCTACCATGATCTCGTCGATTACGATGAGAAACAGTAGCGGTGGTAGTATACATCCTTGTCTCACACCAGTGACTACCCGGATAGGGTCGGACAAGGCTCCATTATGCAGAACTCTGCACGTGAAAGCCTCAAACTGCGCTTCGATGAGGTTGACGATTTTATCCGGGACTCCCTTGCGTCTCAGGGCGCCCCACAGATTCTCGTGATTGAGACGGTCGAAAGCTTTTTCGTAGTCAATCAATACCAAATAAAGGGACTCTGGGAATTCATTGACCTGCTTCAGGATGATGCGGAGCGTGACAATATGGTCCACACAAGATCTTGCGGCACGGAATCCTGCCTGCTACCGTCGGAGAGTCGCGTCGATCTTCTCCTGTATCCGATTCAGGATAACTTTGCACAGAACTTTGAGAACAATACACAGTAACATGATGCCTCGCCAATTGTCGCACACAGTCAGATCCCCCTTCTTTGGGACCTTCACTAAGATGCCCTGCATCCAGTCGGTCGGAAAAGTCGCGTTGTCCCAGTTATTACAGAATAGTTGATGCAACATTTGTGCGGATAGCATGGGGTCAGCTTTGAGCATCTCTGCTGATATGCGATCGACCCCTGGAGCCTTGTTGGATTTCATGCTTCGGATAGCTGCTTCAATCTCCTGCAGTGATGGGGCCTCGGAATTGACGCGAGTGATGCGCCGCACCCTAGGCGGATCATGCCGAGATGTTGATGGCTGGTTGGCCGTCGCAACTTGAAGAAGTTGTTCGAAGTGCTCAAACCAGCGTTTCAGCTGGGAGTGACAAGTTGACAAATGAACAACATTGACATGAATGCGATCGACGACCGATCTGGGTGGATTGTACCCAAGTTTGGGTAGTTTTGAAATAGAGTGTAGATTTTTCATCCGCGTGACATAAATTTATTCGGCGCTGTGAACCAGTTTACTGCAGCGGCGCGCCGGCTCAATTTCATCGGCGGCGGCGGCGTGGCGCGGCGGCGCACAGGTCTAGTTTTAATTCCTTTATAATTCAGTGCCAGCATTTCAAAGGGGAGTAATTGCTTTTGTAAACAATGACTTAAGCCGTCAATTTCTCGCGAATGAAATCTTACCTCTACAAAATTACAATGCTAGCTGGTAGAGGAAACATTCCTCTATCTGCTGGTGCCATTATTTTTCATGAGGGAGCTTTTATTCGCGAGAAATTGACAGCTAAAACCATTGATTATCTTTTGACAGATACGTGTATTTTATCTGCTACTTTCAGACTTCATCAGTGCCAACTACTCAACACCACTGTTATACTCGCTATATTCATAGTCTGGCGGATATAATCTCGGGTACCAATTGAGCTGTCAAATAGCGGAACCAATCGAGTAAATCATGGTCAACAACAGAAAAGAGCACCCTTTTCTCGTGGCTCAAGGCTCGGCTACGCAAACTAACAACATCTTTGGGTTGGGGAAAGTTTCCCCTATCCGATGATGCTGGTAATTTGCGTTCGA